GCCCCCACCCCACCCCCACCACCGACCAGGCCAGCCCAGCCCAGTTCCAAAATAGCCCGGGTGTCACTGTCCAGGATTCAGTTTCACCATCAGCCCTGTGGGAGGCAAAGGGCAGACACTCAGGGGCACAGCCAGGAGCAGCAAGACCCTGTGTCCCCCAGGCTGGGGGAAGGGGCCAGATTGCAGCTGGCCCAGCCCCCTCCTCAGACCAGCATCCTGTAGTCCTGGGAGGAAAGGAGCCCAAGGCACTGAGGATAATTCTAAGGGGGACAAGGGTCCAATACCAGGGAACCTGATATGGACATCAAGAGGGACCCAGGACCAACTCCGAAGGCAACCCAGGACCACCCCCAAGAGAGATTTAGATCCAAGTCTAAGGTGAACCCACAACCTAAACATCTTGGGGCCAGGCAGTGGAAGGGAGCAACCAGGAGCCAAGTGTAGGTCTCCCAGTCAGCCCTGCACTGGCCAACCACACTTGTGACAAAGTGGGTTCCTTGTCCAACTCTCATCTGGTCCAACCTGGCCCCTCCTGGAAGCCATCAACCTGACTGGATCTCAAGGATATCTTTAAGTGAGAGTGGGGGTCCTGTGAGAATCCAGCCTGTCCAGGGTCTTGTCCCTACCCTGGGGGACTGAGGAAATGTTGTCAGTGCCTGCTGCTTCATGCCCCAGGACTGGCTGCCCCAGACACTCCCTCCCACTGCCCCTATGTCTTCAGTTCAAGTACAAGTATGGACAGCATGTTGGGCAGGCCTCACGCAGGGGGAAGGTAGGCTTTACCTGGTGGCAGGGGTCTCACCCAGAGTCGAAAGAAGCTAGCATGGGGCTGGCAGGTAGGGTGGTGGTTAAGGGCACTGGATTCCCACATGGCTGCCTGCAGTTCAAGTCCTGTACCTGGAGGCTTGCTTTCTCACTTTCCCTCTCTCTCTCACTCTGTCCCTCTCTGGTCAAATTTAAATGAAAGAAAGGGAAAGGAAGGAAGGAAAGAAGGAAGGAAGGAAGGAAGGAAGGAAGGAAGGAAGGAAGGAAGGAAGGAAGGAAGGAAGGAAGGAAGGGAAAGGAAGAAAGGAAATAATTATTTAAATAAATTTAAAAAAGAGAAGCCAGCTTGGAAGCACTGAGGCCTTTCCTAAGGATGAGCTGGATCCCAGGGAAGCACTGCTCTTTGGGGTGCATGCCCTGCATGCCCACATTTGAGGGTTTGGGTAGCCAGGCCACACATACCTCATAACCTGGGGACCCCTTTCCTCAGTTGTGTCACCAGGCTGACTCCCAGCTGCTGGAATCATGAGTCAGAAAAGTGATCAGCAGGCAGGGCTCCAAAGCTGACTACGGGAGGGTGGTTCAGGCTGCTAGAGAGAAAGGCCTAAGCAAAGACCTAGAAGTTGGAATGAGCGTAGGAAGAGGATGATCCTCTGGGAGCCAGAAGCTGCTCTGTGCCTCCAGGCTTCACTACCATCCCCAAGCCAGCTTCAGAGTTCCATGTCCTCACCTTGCACATGCAGCCTCTGGTGAGTGTTCTCTTCTGGGTTGCAGACTGGTGGTATCTCATGTCCTCATATAGCAGAAAGAAAACAAGAAGGCAAGAGTCTCTCTGGGGTCCCTTTTATAAGGGCACTAATCCCAATCATAAGGGCTCCATTTCATAACCTAACAATCTCCCAGAGGCTCCACTTCCTAACACCATTACCTTTGGGGTGAGGATTTCAACATAAGACTTTGAAGAAACACATACATCCAGGCCATAGCACCAGTGTGGAAAAAAAGGACAGGAAGGAGACATCAGCCCCAGAAGCATGACTCCAGAGACCCAGAGTTGGTGCAGAAACATGTGTGCATGTGTTGTGCAGCCAAATATGTGTGCATATTTGTGTTTGCATGTGTACGTGTGGCATGTATGTAAGAGTGCACATGTATATGTGTTTACATAGGTGCATGCATGCATGGTTGTGTGTGTGTGTGCATCCATATGTATTTGGCTGCATGCATGCATGCTGCACATCATCTCAGAGCAAGGTCTTAAGAGATCAGTGGGAAGTTCAGTGCTGGCTAGTCTACAGGTTCTCTTAGTAGAAGCAAAGCTACTTAGGTCCCCAGGAGCCACCCCTGGCCTCCTGGCCATCCTCAACAGTTGCCTTTCCCACAGCATCCCCAGTGCACCAAGTCCAGTCTTTATTACTTATTTTTTTGTCTCATACACTTCTTTTAATTTGTAGGTCCCCTTCTTTTGTTTCTTACTTCCGTGCATATTTGTTAATGTAAGCAGGATATTTATCCTGCAGAGATTCCAGAGGTTGACTCTTGTCCAGAGCACCCCGGAGGGACATTCACACCATCCGAGGCTGCAAGACATCATGACTCAGTGCCTAGCCAATGGTCTGTCCCCATTTGTTGTGGTACTCTGCCAAGAGAACTTGTACTGAGCCAATAACTGGAAACCAGGGTGGGGTGGGCACAATTTGCTTAGGAAAAACAAATGTTGATTCTGTTTCTTTACTGTTTTATTTGTTGCTGTTGTTGTTTTGCTAGAGGGCATGGGTGCTTGCCAGATAGAGACAGAGACAAAGGGAAAGAAAGCACTCCCCATGGGCAATGATCATACCACAATCCTTTTTCCTTTATCCCTTCCTTCTTTCAGGAGTTTGAGTACACACACATGTGCCCAGTGTGTTTCTCAAGCTGCCAAGCCAGGACTTAAACAGCATGGCCATCCATATGGGATCCAGTTGCCCTAACCACCAGGCCATGGAGCCAGCCTGATTCCGTTTTTTTGAATGCCAGTTTTTGCATGAATTCCCTATTACTCATCACTGTCTAACAAGGGATTTTATATCTCAGTGGGCTGACAATCGGGTTTTATTTCATTGAAATTGGTACTCCAATAGTCACATTTGGACAAGTCTGCTACAAGGCTCAGAAGGCTGGAGTATACAGGGGACCTTGGCGCCTGCACACACTGCCCTGGACTGCAAAGTACCTGGCCCCCAACACACCCCATATATTGGGTTTGGTGAGAGAGGAGGCTGTGCTCCCAGCTCAAAACAAATCCCTCTACCTGTATGATACTGCATGAGGGCAGAATGGGAGGGAGAGCTTGTAGCAAGATAACAGCTCAGCTGCCCAGAATGAGCCAGGATATATACCTGTCATCGTGAGAGAAGGAGCACAATGGGTTAGGGGTGTAGAGGGCTCCCAGCACAGACCCTCCCGTCAGTCTAGTAATGGCCTCTGAGCCAAGAATACCTATGGCTCCCACTTATACTCTGACTCCTCCCTCTTCTACAGCTCAGCTCCACAATACATTATTATTAACCACGGTCACATTGCTGTACATTAAGTCTACATAAATTATTCATCCTGCGTAACTATTACTTTGTACCCTTTCTGTATACATCAAAGAAAACAATCAGCAGTTTGAAGAGACAACCTACAGAATGCAAGAAAATATTTGCAGACCATGTATCTACTAATGAGTTAATAGCTAAAATATATTAGAAATTCCTAACAACTCAATAACAAGGAAACAACCACTGTTTTCCAGCTGGAACCATGGAGGGCATTAAATAGAAGAAAAAGAAGGTTCCTGCTGCAGCAGAAACCCTTAAGAAAAAGTGAAGAAGTTTTGCAGAGCTGAAGATCAAGTATCTGGGAAAGAAGTTTGTTCAAAAGATGCTTCAAAGGGCAAGGAGGAAGTTTATCTATGAAAAAGCTAAGCACTATCATAAGGAATATAGATAGATGTACAGAACTGAGATTCGCATGGCCAGGATGGCGAGAAAAGCTCGCAACTTCTATGTATCTGCCGAACCCAAACTGGTGTTTGTAATCAGGATCAGAGGTATCAATGGAGTGAGCCCAAAGGTTTGAAAGGTGTTGAAGGTGTTGCAGCTTCTTCATTTTTGCCAGATCTTCAATGGCACCTTTGTTAAGCTCAACAAGGCCTCAATTAACATGCTGAGAATTGTGGAACCATATATTGCATGGGGTACCCGAACCTGAAGTCAGTGAATTAACTAATCTACAAGTGTGGTTATGACAAAATCAATAAGAAGTTAATTGCTTTGACAGATAACTCTTTGATTGCTCAATCTCCTGTTAAATTTGGCATCCATCTGCATGGAGGATCTGATTCATTAAATCTACACTGTTGGAAAATGCTTCAAACAAGCAAACAACTTCCTATGGCCCTTCAGACTATCTTCTCCATGAGGTGGAATGAAGAAAAAGACCACC